CGGTAAGCCTGAGGGCACGGGCCCTAACGGCGAAGTAAAAAGCTTTTCCCGGGGGCCTGCTTCTTTCTTTCTCTCGTGTTCTATTTGTTTTCCTTATCAGCGTGAAGCAGCACAAGGTGACTCCTCGTTGTGCAGTGAGGGCAGAGGCTCCATTTGTTGGCTGCTTTGTTTCAAAATTCCTACTATTAATAAAAATAGAGGCCTTTGGGTGAAAAAGATGCCAGGGTCAGTATTATAAATGGGACCTAGGAAGACTGAAAAAGCAACTTAGCCACATAAACTGGCTTTTTTTCCGAAGCAGTGATAGTGATTCTCATAGTCTTGTCTGTCGTGACCTCTGAAAATCACATCTGCCTCTAACACGAGCTTGCCACGGAGACTCTCTTACTCAAGACATTACTGCATTTAATGTGTACTCAACAATAAAGATTTCATGGTCTTTTAAAGCCTAGAAGGCAAATACCAGAATACAGGTTTCTTTTTTTTTTTTTTTGGGGGGGTGGTGGTGGTGTGTGCGGTGCTGCTGAAAGGGACAAGGAAGCCTTGCTTCCCTTAAAGCATGTGATGAAGTCAGACAATTTAACTTCTCAGTTTGCCATTTGTGACCTTGGCCAATGTGTTCCCTTTTTGTAGGGAGCCAAAGTAAGAACTTGGCTTCTAGTATTCTGAAAGTACTTGGTGAAGCTTAATTCATGTTTTATATTAATTCCTTACTTTAGAGGTAGGTGTTTTAGTAAAGTATAGCTTTTCTAATTTAAGAAAAAGTTGCAGGATAGCACCATTTCAGTTAACTTGGTATATTCATTCTTAATTGTTAAATAGTTTTAAATTTGTACTTTGAACAGAAATTACTACTCATAAAATGAAGGCAAATCCTGTATTAGGATAATGGCTTGCTTCTCGTTTTATGGTGTGTCATCAGATGAGAACAAGCAGTCATTTACTAAAATTAATATTGCATACCATAAAACAAAGGCTATGCTAGCACAGTGAATATGGGGAATTTAGTATTTTAAGAGGCTGTCTTCCATTGTCAGACTCAGAGCACTTATTTTTTTTACCCTGCGAAGGACTAAATCTCTGACGGTAATCAAACATGCTTCTAGGTGATCTCTTTAGGAGGCAATTCTTTTTTTTTTTTTGCACATATGTAGCAGCCTAGAGAATTAATGAATATGAGAATCACTGTGATAGTGCCAGCATTGACCATGGCACGTGCTATTAGCATCGGTTCTACTCATCTCCTGTCCTAGAACTGTTTTGGAATTGGAACTGCATAGGAAGCTTACCTCTGAGGAAATTAAATTGGAATCAGCCTGGTTGGAGCTGGCTGCCCTATTTAAAGTACAATTCTTCTAACAGCTCCAAAGGGTCAAGATCTTTTTCTTACCTATCTGAGAGATGCTTTTAGTAACATCCCATTTCTTGAGCCACGTTGGCTGAGGAGTGACTAAATGAGTACTGTAAAACTCTAAACTGTCTGAAGTATCACGGTTTTATTGAAGGCCTTGTAGATAAGTACTGAAATTGTTTATGGGAAGCTTTGTGTATACTGGCAAAATGCAGTGTTGGCTAGAGCTAAACTGGTCTTCAGAACCCTAATTTTGGTTGCTCTTTGGAGGTGGATCTAGACAATTAGACTGCATTTACAATTTGATTATACCACACTGCTTTTTTTTAGGCTGAATCATGGTGAATCTTGGAAACTTGGCCAGTGTTCTTAGATCTGGGAGGATGAGGAAAGATGGTATTTTGGGTTTCAGCTAGGATTTCTAGGAGTGATCTCCCAGATAGGAGTGCATGTAGCACAGTTGCTACTCTTTTGAACATGAGCTTTTGCTTACTGGACTTACCTACCATGTCTGCTTCCAAAATGTAAGCTGTTTCTGAATTCAGACTTCTCTTGCATCTGGACCATTCACTGTAGTGAGCTAAACGCAAGATAGCTAGCTTTTTGAGATGAGCTTTTAAAATCTATAAAGATAAGTGTTGGCTTCCTTAAGGAGATTTCAAAAATAATGACCCATTTAATAGGCTGGCTTTTTTGTGTCTTTTAAGGAAGTTTTTCGCCTACCAAAATACTGATAAACTTAGGAGCCCTGTAGTGATTACTGCCATTCCTTTTACTGAAATTTGAATAAGGATGCTCAAGTGCTGGGATAACAGATTCAGTGCCAGATGAGAGATTACTTGGCAGCTGTTTGCTGGGTGATCACTCCAGAAGTTAACAGTTCCTGGATAAAAAAGAAAATGTTGCTGGCTGCCTAATTCCCTTGGCTGTTGATCTCAAGGCACTTCTTAGTGCTCAGTAAAAAAAAAAAAAAATACCACCACAGAAGCGCTCCCCCCACCCCAAACCACCTACTGTTTCAGGGAAGAGTGAGAGGGAATGAAGCTGGAAACTGTTGGGCTTGTGGCCTTTCCTTAATCTTGTAGTTCTGCCACCTCATTTCTGAGGTTACAGTGGAAAAAAGACAGGCACAAAGAATCCGCAGGTGTGATCAGTAATATATTGTGGAGTCTTTATGAGGAGAGAGAGCAGACTTTTGAACAAGGCAGTGTATGCTGTTGCTCATCACTGGTGACAGATCCTTAGGCTTGTTGGGTGCCAACATGGGAATAGCCATATTGAATCAAATTAATTCCCAACAAAGTAGAGATGTGGGATGAGGTTTAGATCCAAGTAAAATGAAGACAGCTCTCGTTTAAAAGGTACCTTTTAAAAGTCTTATGTAGACAAAGAAACTGATTGGCCTAGGTGATAATTTTAACCAGTCTTACAGGCTGTCACAGAAACAGTTTTCCAGACTTCTCTTGCCACTCTCCATGTCCAGTTGGGATACTTCACCTCAAACACGCTGATTTTTCTCCTTTCCCCCTCCTGGTAGCCTGAAGTTGTGGTCATGCAGAAGTCAACTACTTTGTATTGCTACTTCTGCGATTACCATTTGAATATTTATATAGTATTTGAATAAATACTGAATTTCACCAAGCCATTTAATGAATTAAAAAGGTACATAGAACTGTATGTTCAAGATTTTGTCTGAATTTCATCTGACATGTTTCTTTGCACCTCTTTTTGGAGAGCACTGCTTCACCTTTTTATCATAATCAGCTTTGGTCCCAGGTAAGACTAGAATGCTATGAAGTCTCTGCCATTGCTTTAATTTGCAAATCTGTTCTCTTTCTTTACTGTGATTTATAGCGAGATGTAGTTTTCAGTTTTATTGGGTGACATGGAGGAACTCCATTAATCAGTTGGGCTCTACAGGATTAGTTTGGGGGGAAAAAGAAGGAATTACTGCATTAAAAAAATCCAAACCTTTCCTGGTCTGGGAAAGAGATTATTATTTTTCCATGAATATTGAAGAAAACCTTCAGTGTTTCTTCCAGCTGCTCCAGCAGTTGGAGACTTTCACAAGATATCTTGTGAGGTAAAGACAGCGTTGTCCACGGCATTAATTGTGCTGGGTAAATGCTTGGGGTGGGGGGGAGAGAGCAGAACAAAACAAACACAGAAGTTATGTGGCTACTAGGTAAAAAGCAGCTTATGTACGTTAAACAGTGAGAAGCTGGGTGGTGTTTGGTTTGTTTTGGGTTTGTTTTTTTGCTGGTGGAGGAAGGAAAAGTCTCACTTCTGACACCTGTGATAAGTTCTGGAAGTTCTATACTAAAGTGCAGCATGGTGAAATTTGATGACTGGGTTTCATTTGCACTTCTGGGAGAGCAGTGCCCTCTCTTGTACCGCCATGTTCACTTACTTCAGATCTTCTTTAATGAAAATGGTGTGCAGCTGCTAGGACTGTATTGCTCTCACTGAAAGCTGTATATCTAATAGTTTAGGACTGTTTGGTTAAAAAACCAGACTACACCCTTATTGCTAGTATGCTGGCTATTATGATCTTGCCTAGATTTCCTGAACTCTTCGTTCTGTAAGATACTAACAAATGTTACCAAAAGGACAATAAAACGAGATTTGGATAAAAATT